TTTACACACATATAATATTCAAATAATGGAACTTAACAAAAAAAGGGGATACAGATGAATGTCCATTTTGTATCTGTGTATTCAAAGTGGTTAGGATACATATATAGTTACATTCTCTCAATGAATAGAGGGATTTGTTCTAATGGTGTTTGTAAATAGGATATCATGTCCACATCTTGTACAGCAATTAACCACTAGGAAGAATATATGTAATGTGTCAATTATTGAAACTGTCCTACCAATTTGGTTTGAAACTGTCTCATTGCTATTTGTTTCTCTATAAAATTATGGAAAAAAATCAGAATATGTCCAGAAATGTCTTCAGAATAATGACACGTTTGGAAGCTAAAGAAAACAAGGATGACTTTCAATGTGGGTTATGAACACTAATCATGAAGTACAGAACAATCTCATTTATCTTTTAGTAGTCTTTGAAACAGTCGGATTAGGGTCATGCATACAAGCAGCTCTTCATCTGATGTTAAACTAACAAGGGATAATTAGTCAAAGGAAAACAAGGCTTAGATGCAGAAAAGGGCAACAATCTTAAAATATCTGAATGGCTCTCATGTGCACTATTTATTCTGTGTACCTTTCAAGGGACAAGTATAAAAAAGTCCCTTTATAGATGAAGCTGAGAATACAAATCCATTCCTTCAAGAGATTGTACATGAATACATGAATAAGAATAAAAGAAGTCTTCAAGGGTTGAATACATGAGTGGACAATGATTTCCCAAAGAATTATGGGGGCCAACTAAACAGTGAATATGCCAATTCTCATTAGAAAGTGACAGGACTGTGTCCCTGCTTGCATACAAATCAATAAATTCACTCCTAAGTCATCCTTAGGCCTGCAGGCTGCAACTCAAAATGCCAAGGTGGGGGGAAGGGGAGGAAGAGTAGGACGAAGAGGAAAAGGAAGAAGAGGGGAGGAAGAGTAAAAGGAGGAAGAAAGAAGAACAATAGAGGAAGAAGAGGAGGAAGATTAAGACAATGATGACAATGACTTTTCAGACCTGGAGATTTGTTATGATTCAGGATCTAAAATATCCCCCCAAAGTCTCATGCATTTAGAAGTGGGGTTTTGGGTCATGGGGGTGCTATATTCTTTAGATCCACTCATGAGTTCATGTTGAATGTGCTAAGGTCTGGCTGGAAGAGGCAGGATACTTCCCTGTTTCCTGGCTGTGCGAGGTGGGCAGCTTTCCTCTGTCATTTTCTTCCACCATGTCATCTCTGCCTTGGAGCCAGCTGACCATGGACTGAAACTCTAAACCAGGAGCCAAACTGAACCAGTCTCCTTCCCCCCCCCCCATAATTTTATTGAGAAACAAATAGCAATGAGACAGTTTCAAACCAAATTGGTAGGACAGCTTCCATAATTAACACATTGCATACATTCTTCCTAGTGGTTAATTGCTGTACCAGTCTCCTTTAAGTTGTGAATGTCAAGTATTTTGTCCCAGTGATAAGAAAGCTGACTAATAAGGCATTGAAGCCAGGGCCTTTGCTCCTGGGCTTGAACTTGCAATCCTCCTTCAGCTTCCCACAGTGCTGGAATTACAGGAGTACAACCACCATATCCAACAGAGGTAGATGATTATTACCCAGGCAATTGTTACAGTGAAGGTGCTAGTGTGGCTTTCAAAACTTTTACCACTTAGCTATAGGGAAAGACAATAACATAGTACCCTATAATAAATTACAATAATGTATCCTTTGTAAATATAATATACATAGGTTCCAAGGTGACTTAGGTGATGAAATAAGTATGAGAATGAAAGCTTTACAAAGTGAACTGCATACAATTTAAAAGAGTAAAATTTATGATTTGTGAATTGTACTTTAAATTTTAAAAGGTTTAAAAAATGTTAAAAGGGGAGTTGCATGTTTATATATTTAGATCTTTTTAATTGGGAGATAAAATTGAGACACGAGCAAGAAACCTTCACTTAGCACAGCTTTTTTGAGGAGAATGTCAATGAACAAGTGAGTGGAATTCTTTTTCCTGTGTTTGGTTATTCTTATTAAGTTCTTGAGAAGCCAGTCAAGTTTTTTTGTTGTCCTGAGCAAACATGATTTTGGGGGCAGGAAACATTCTTACCTTGATAAGCTAAAAACATTTTGGTGAAGGGAGGCATCCTGACCAGGAAGTGTAGCACAGTGCCACTGTTGGAGTAGTGGGAACCATAGTGATAGGGCTGCACGGGAGGCATGGGGTCATCTTCCCTGGCTCCTTTGCGGTACTCCTCCTCCAAGTACTGAGGGATTCAGAATCAGAGAGAATTTATGACTGTGCATTTGATGCAATGCTGAAAAAATGCAGGTTTCCTCTTCTATCCTTCTCTATCACCCTTTTGATGCCATTCTCCATGGCTTCCCATGTTACTCGTGTCTGAGACTCCAGTGTTTAGGAGTCTTCTCTGAGGCCTGCACTTATTCTGCCCTGCACTCTGTCCTCACAAAACATTCCTGCTCTGCAGCCTCACTCAAAGCACTCCAGCTCATAATATCTAAGGTCATCAAGCACTCAAATAATGGGAGCTGTTCCAATCACCAGAAGCACCTGTGTTTTAAAAGACAGTTGCAGCACACAATGCTATGTTATTTAAAGAAACATTTCCCTAGAAGTGGAAATACAACAGAAGTGTAAAGATACTACATGTAAACAATATTAATATAATATTTTATGACTGTTTTACAGCATAGCTATATAAAAGATTAAAAGAATGTAGTGACTTTTATTATTCCTATCCTTCCATCATAAAGTAGGAAGTAAAGCTAAGATTTAACATCTGTCACTGTGCTCATCTTCCATGGCTTCTGTTTGGCTCTAATAACAACTTTCAATAGTGAATTCAGTAGTGAATTTTCAATAGCCACTTTTGACTCTCACTTACTGCCCTATTTTCAAACAACAACACAAAAGAATCAAACAATGTCAGTATAAGATTCTTTGAGAGATGTTTCCGGAACTATGAAATAAAAAAATAAGGTGGTACATATGATTAAATTGTTTTAGCTGCTTCTGCTTAACACTGTTGTGAAGAATGTTATGTGTGGCAAAAGAGAATTTTTTGAATTTCCAATAGAATTTCAATAATGTTATTTTCATAGAAACAAGACATTCATTTTGATTTAGTAAACTTAAAATATAGTAAATTTGTATTAATAAACCAATATAAATGTTCTGCATATAACTACTAAGGATTATGGTACATAAGATATGTGTTACTATTATTGTATAAATAGCAGGAGGGGATACAAACAGCAGGTCCTTGAAAGTCTTTGCGATTTTTAAAAGAAATATAATTACTATATATTTGCGTAAACAAATAATGTAATGTGTTATTAGTTTTCAGTTTATACCAAAAGGCTATTCTTTTAAATCTCTGAGGTGTTTTCAGAGAATTAAGGCAGAAAATAAATTTAATTTCATATCATTTCTAGTTATCTGTCAAAGTACAAGGAAATGAAAAATAGAAAAATCAATATTATAAGTTTAAGATTAAGAAGAGCACAAATCTATAAAACAAAACTCCATTTTTTTTATCAAAGTCTTAGTAGAAATTATAACTACCTTGTATGTGTCCACATAACGATCTTCTTTTTCTTTATACTGCACAGCAATAGGCTTAGAGAGGTTTCTATAAAGGAAGGATGACAGGAAAAAATAAAATCATTTGATACTGACAGGATGAAGCTACCTATGTCTGCATTCTGAGGAAATAAGTGATCAGCAAAATGTGTGGTCCTGACTTTAATGCTTGTAACACACTGATTTATAACTAACAGCCACCATTCAAAATTAAGATTTAATAAGCAGTTATGGTAGAATTTTCCCATAGACTTGCACCAACAGTAGGAATCCTGACTCAAGTAACCTGAACAAGAAGAGCTTCTCCCCCTACATATGCAGCTTCCTCTGGAATCACAACGGATGCTGCTTAGAGTGGCTGATTCCACTCAAGCCCTGAAAGTTCTTGTCCCCATTTTGTAGACTCTATATCTCCATCTAACAGTTAAAGGAAAATCTGGACAGAAATTATGATCATGAGAAGATGCTATTTAATTATTAGCCTACTTAGTAAAAACTGACGAAATAATACATACTTCAAATGAGAGTGTGTGTTTTGCTATCTAATTAGACAGTGATGCAAGGTTCTCACATGTGCATGTAAACATGCTGCCACTGCAGTTTACACTAAAGAACCCAAAACAGAGCCCAGGCGGTGGTTCATGACTGCAGTCCCAGCGACCTGGGAAACGATGCTGGGAGGACCACTTGTGCCCAGAAGTTCTACACCAGCCTGGGAACACAGCTAGACACTGTCTCAACAACAAGTAAAACCAAAGAAGTAGAAACAGTTTTATAGAATAGACATAGGGGCCGGGGAGATGGCTCAGTAGAATAAGTGCTTCCCTGACAAGCACAAGGGTCTGAGTTCAATCCCCGGTTCTGCCAAAAAAAAAAAAAAAAAAAAAGGATATAAATTCACATCTCAAAATAGGAAGACTTTGGCATATAATTTTTTATAAATGCTGTGAATAGTACTGCAGAATACAAATTATATTAATAGATGTGGCTGAAAAAGTAGAAATTACAGTTTAGCAAATTAAATACATAAAAAAATCAGTTTATCCTGTCCACAACATACATTTCCATAACATTATTTTAATGGCTGTGACATATAGCAATTTACTGAAACCTAGCGTTGGGCATGTAGGTAGGTTATTTCTAAATTTTAGATGCTTTTAGCAATGATGTGAAGACTACACTGACAGCTAAACCTTTACACACAGTGCCAGTAAGCAGACAAACATGAAACTTACATGAGAACATTTTGGTAGAGCACATATCTTACAGTATTTCCTAAGAAAAATCCCCAAAAACTGAATTGCTAAAGAGTATGCACATTTTAAGAGTTCTTTAAAAATATATCATTAAGTTGTCTTCCATAAAGACCATATCTTATTCATATCAAAAATGTATAGATGATGTTTAAATGTCTAACAGCAGTGTGTAGAATGCCTAAAACAGAAACTATGTGCCATTTGCTTTTTTTTAAATTGACAAATACATTCAATGGAAACTGATTTCTTATGAAATGCCTAAAACAAGGCCTATCTGAAGTAGGCAGTTATAATTAAAATGTTAATACACAAGTGGAATATTTGGAGTCAATTTTTCATTTATTTATTTATTTGGGTGCAGGGTCTCACTACGCAGCTCAGACCCGTAGTGATCCTCCTGTTTTCAGCCTCCCTAGTGCTGGGATTAAAGGCATATGCCACCATGCCCAGAATCCATTACAGGCTCAGTGTGTTGGGTGGTGGGGGTGGAGGGATGGGGAATGGGGGATAACATTGGTGGGTAGGGCTAGGGAGTGGGGTGGGGGTGGGGAGTGCTGGGAGTGGGGTGGGGTGGGGGTGGGGAGTGCTGTTACAGCAGTTGGCGCCCAGAATTAAATCCCCATGCCTGCACTTGCCTAAGCTGGTGCTTAGTCTGCTGAGCTATCTCACCAGCCTTGGAATCAATTTTTCTTTAAACTAAAGAAGAGAATGTCTGTCTGTCTCTGTCTGTCTGTCTGTCTGTCTGTCTGTCTGTCTGTCTGTCTTTTTTTCTTTCTTTCTTTCTCTTTCTTTGTATAGTTAGGACAGGATCTGATTCAGAGTGACCCTCCCGTTTTCAGCCTCCTAAGTGCTAGGATAACAGGTGTGTGCCACCACGCCCAGTCTCAATCCCTGTCTCAGTGTGTCCCGCAGGTGGGGCCAGCATGGCAACTGGAGATCAAGCCCCAGCCGCTGCACTCTGCCTAAGTGGGGGTTTTAGTCCTCTGAGCTATCAGGCCTGCCCTATGTTTTCAAAGTAAGAAAATAAAATATTCTCTTGTCAACCATGATTATTTGGTTACTATAAAATACATTTCATTCAGGAAAAGGAGAATGTTTGATTCTTTATTTCTCAAATCTCAAAGTAATAAACTCTAATCATAGTAACTTACCTTAAATAGGACCAATAAAATGGGCCTTTTATTTTTTATTTTTATTTTAGTATTTTAAATAGTAGGGTAAACCAATAGTAAAGATCTGAAATCCAAGAAGTACCTAATTTGAGATATTTTTAAACACTGTGTGCCAAAATTTCTAGGTTTCGAAGCATAATTTGGTTTTCAGACTTTTGGATTAAGAATACTGAACTGGTAAAGTCTATGCAAAGATTAGATCTGAAAACCTGTACTCTAGGTCCCAAGCATTTGGATAAGTGATACTCAACCTGTATGACTAAAAATTTATACATATTTTTATTTCAATGTGCTTCATGAACTAGTATCTTTTTTGTTTTTTTTTTTTTTGCTTTTCAGACTGTCCTATATTTGGTAGTATGAGCCATTTCAATTGGCTTCTGCGTCCTCTTGATAAGATTATATTTGTTTCCTTGTTCTCTGACACAAAATATATTAGGCTCATCTTATATGTTTTTTCTAATAAATTTATGAGAAAGGAGAGATAAGTAACTGCCATTTTAAAGCCCCCAGTGAAGTAAAGTGATCCAAGCAAGTATTAACAGTAGATAGCATCATTAGAAAAAGTTCAATGCCAGTTGGAATTCACAAATCCATCTAAGCAGCTCAGGGTGGGATCGCAGGGGCCCCTGTGGTGTCATATAAAGCTTACACAAGCATGTACAATATATTCTTGCCCACATAAAGTTGAACTTGAATTTAATCAAGTCTTTGGAACTAATTTCCATTTTTCTAGGAAATACAGAGGCTAGAGGAACAAATTGAATGACATTTTTTTCTTAACAAGTTAAGATCAACAGGAAATAAAATCTATATAATAAAAATTAAAGGCTATTTTAGATGTGTATTTTCTATAAATATACTAGAAATCTACAGACAACAATTAATGATTTATAAGACAACAAGAACTAGATTCAACCCAACGAATTATAAAAACATCTTTTTAAAAAATGTATTTTAGTACAGGAACTACAGGGCCTCATTACACAGATCAGACTTGGAGTGATCCTCCTATTTTCAGCCTCCCAAGTGCTGGGATTTCAGGTGTGTGCCACAATGCCCAGACTCAGTCGCTGTCTCAGCCTGCCCCGGGAGTGGGGCCAACACGGCACTCTGGGGATCGAACTCCGGCCCCTGCACCTGTCTAAGCAGGCGTTTTAGTCTGCTGAGCTGTTTGGTTGGCCCTAAAATCACATCTTTAAGATAATCAGGGAACATATAAAAATGAACTAGATATTAGATGAAATTATGGAATTTTCTTAGATGTGATAACAGCATCATAGCTATATAAGAAATGTTCTACTTTTAAAAAATCTTTTAAATTATTTATTTATTTATTTGGCACAGGGTGTTGCCACACAGCTCAAATGCATAGTGATCCTCCTGTCTCAGCCTCCCCAGCACTGGGATTACAGGTGCGTGCCACCAAGCCTGGTTTCATTGGCCAACACAGCATGCCTAGGGTTCTGGGGCCAGCATGGCATGTGGTACTGGGGATCAAACCCAAGTCCTTATACTTGTTAGGCAGGTGCTTAACTACTGAGCTATCTCTCCAGCCAGAAATGATCTATGTTTTAAAAAGAGACACAGATGTAAAACTCAGAAGGGATGCATTATAGTAAATTCTTTGAAATAAACAGGGAAGGACTTTTTTTTTTTTTCTGAGACAGGGTCTGCTATTTAGTGCAGGGTGGCCTTGAATTCGCTTATGTAGCCCAGGCTGACCTCAAACTCAAGGTGATACTCCTGCTTCAGCCTCCCAAGTGCTGGGATTATAGATATGTGCTACCATGTCTGGTGAGCAGGAAAAAAAAGATGATGCAAATTTTATGGGCATATGGAAGTTCATTATATAATCATTCCATTTTTTGGCATGCTTAAAATGTTTCATAACAAAAACTTCAATGATAAACTATGAAACCAAAGATGATGATGTCTTTACTTACCTATAAATTGATGGATCATTGAGGTCAAGTGTCTCACTAACATAGTCAGCAAGTATAAACGGGAATACTGGGTACTGCATGAGATCATTGAAGGATCGGCCAGCATGTTTATTTAAGTGAGTCAAATATTCAAAATTAGTGATTTGTCCAGTATACCACAGGTTTGTCAGAGCAGTAATGTTACCATATTCCAGAAGATTTGGGAGGTTATTTGTAAGAATACTATGGTACACATCATCACGAACCTAAAAGGGGAAAGAAATCCAGCTATTATTTTTGGAGTCACTGACACTTTTCTTCAGAGAATGATGATATTATAAATAGGTTATTAACCTCAAGTCTTCTAAGAAAATACTTTTGCCAAATGTAATTATAGTATCTGGTGGAGAACTGAGAGTCAAGGTAGGACTTTTCCTGAAGTTGTGCTCTTGGCTGCTGTGTTTTGCAACTGAAGAAATCTATAGCAAGATTATCCTATCTATAGTTTCTAAGGAAAACTTATGCACAAAAGTCACCTCTATATAGATACAAAAAAATCAATGAAGAAAAAAAAGAATTTTCTTCTAGATAAATGTGTTACGGTGTAGTAGAAAGAGCATATCTTCTGTATTGGAAGACTTAACTAGATAAGGACAGACTTGGTCTGTGTTCCTACTAACCCTTTATGCTACAGTTCTAGCTATAATAATGGGGTAATAGTTATCTTATATGAATTAAAGGGCTGGGGATATAGCTCAGTGGCACAGTGCTTGCCTGGCAAGCACAAGGTCCTGAGTTCAATTCTCGGTACCTAAAAAAAAATTAAATTAAATATCCCATGTAAAAACTTAAATTTACACTGTCAGTTGAAAAAAAATATAAACTCTCTTCTAGATATTAACAAAAGTTTTCTCACAAAAAAGAGGACTGATTCTTCTAAAGTAATTATGTAACTGGTAATAAATGAACAAAAGAAGACAAGTTTTTGCTAAAAACAGACTTGAAACACTCATCTTAAATGTGTATATGCTCAGGCACAGTACAGAGTCACACACAGGTGTGGACAGTGAAAGACAGGACTAAAAGAAAATTACAAGAATGAGAAAATTAAGCTGTGGTTATGGAACAAGTTTAATAACCCAAACCTGTAGCCAAAATCTGAAGGCTACCAAATACTGAAGCTAAGGTAAACACAATAGATTATTTATTTATTTATTTATTTATTTATTTATTTATTTATTTATTGTACCAGGGATTGAACTCAAGGCCTTGTGCTTGACAAGTAAGCACTTATTCCACTGAGCTATCTCCCTGGCCCGCGAATAGAATTTACGATAGACTATGTATCAAACTCTGGAAGGAAAAGGAAGCATTATTCACTCATTCAACAAGTACTTACTGAACACTTACATACCAGTCATGTTCCTGGTACTGATTATATAGCACTTAACAAAGCCAAATCTGGATATTCTATTGGGAGATCCAGACAATGCTGGATGCTAACCAGTCTTATGGAGAAAAACAACTAGAAAAGGAGATATGGATGGCTAGGGGCCACAGGACTATGTTTGTTTGTTTTTGGACTATATTTTTCATAGTCAGGCTCAGGAAGATAGTGCAAGTATTATCTAGAAGATAGTGCAAGATATTATCTAGACAGGTCTGAAGAGAAGACATGATCAGGGAACTTGAAAAAGTGAGGAAGTGAGTCGCTAGATTTCTAAGGGGAAAGGCATTTCAAAAAGCAGAAAGTGCAGACTCTAAAGTATCAGTATGTCTGACATAATTTAAAAAAAGAAAATTGCCATGGCTGGAACAGAAGAAGTGAGGGAGAGAATGGTAAAAGACGAAGTTAGAGAGGAAAAGAACAAGGTACCTAGGGTTTTATCCCGCCATTGTAATGGTTTTGGCCTTAACTGCGTGACATAAGAAGTGACTGGAGGGTTTTGAGCAAAACAGCATGATCCACATTCACTTGTGTTGCACTGAAACAGTGCAAGGGGCATGTATGTAAGCAGTGGGAGGCCAGCTAGGAAATGATTTAGGCAGGAGATGAGAGTAGCTCCGATAGGATGGTGGGAGCCATCAGATTCATAAGTGTTGCAACCAACGCTTATGAATTTCTTTAATTTCTTCATATGTCCAGGAAAATGATGCTGGTTCTAACTCTCCCTGAAGGCTCTGCATTCGGATGGAGTATGTGTGCAGATAAAAGAAATGAAATGGACTAGGTTTAGAGAAATCTCATGGTTTTGGGCCTGGGCATCAGTAAGATGAAGTTGTTTCTTGAGATGGAGAACTAGGAGATTTGGCAGGGATGGTGGGGAGACAAGGTCTAGTTTTGTATGTGTTACTTTTGAGAAGCCAAATAGCAAACTTCCAAAATGAAGATGCCAATTGAGGAGCTAGCATTCAGGGGAAAGGTTTGGTATAAAGTTATAAGATGTTATGATACAGATGGCATTTTAAAAACACAAGAGTATGAGCGAGAGCTCTAAGGAATGTTGCTTCAGAGGCCCATGGGAGAGATGGACAAATAATAGAAGAACTGAGAGAAAGTAGTAACCAAAAAGAACAGACAAGGCAAGTTCTTATAGAGAAGCAGTTTAATCAGCAGTAGCAAGTGCTGCTGATAGGAATAAGGAGCATGGAATATGGCCACAGATAGGGCTTCACAATACGGACGCCTGGTGGCCCTGGTGGTAAGGAGATAGCATTCTATGAGCCCTTCAAGAGTTGTGGGCAGGAACCCAAGGCAGCATGTACAACTTTCCCTGAGAAGCTTTCTATGAAAGAAGTAGAGAAGTTTTAACTGAAGGGATAGGGTGTGTGTCTGTGTGTACATACATGTTGTCAAAGATGGACTCTACTAGAGCACCAGGCAAGTTCAAAATTATCTGGTGCACTCCAAATAATTAGAATTATTTGGTTCAGATTTTGGCGGAATCCAAATGTAGCACAATTATGGTAGCTGAAAATGAATCTTCACACAACCAAATGGTTGTTAGGAGTAAAAAGGCTATTTTTATTTTATTTCTAAGGCAGTGAATTAAAGTTTAAGTAAAACACCTTCATATAATAAACAGAATTACACTTGTTACATAATCAAGCAATATATATGTACATACATACTACATATATCATGTTGAATTTACCTTAGTATTATCAAATGCTAACAGGAGGGTTCTACCATTTGTTAAAAAGATTTCTACAGCATTATCTCGCAGTTGCCACCAACGCTTATGAACTTCTTTAATTTCTTCATATGTCCAGGAAAATGATGCTGGTTCTAACTCTCCCTGAAGGCTCTAAAACAAAGGAAATAGATAAAAGCACTTGCTTTATATCAAATGTAAATATTTTAATTTTAGATTTTTAAAAAATATCCAAATGAAACAAAAAAACAAGCCATTCTTTTGTTGGCAAAATGGTGGTAAGATTACTTGAAAACCTCCCCAGTATAAAACATTTTGAATATTAGGTGAAATCTAGCAATAAAAAAATTAAGACTTTTTGGGGGCCAGTTTTAGGTTTATAGAAAACTGAACAGCTATTACAGACAGTTCCTATGTATTATGTCCCCTTGTCCATCATACTCAGTTTCCCTATTATTATTATTATTATTATTATTTTAATATATTTAGTACAAGGTCTACAGGGTCTCACTATACAGATTGGATTCGTAGTGATCCTCCTGTTTTCTGTCTCCCAAGTGCTGGGATTTCAGGCATGCTACCATGCCCAGTCTCATTTGCCCTTCTCAGCACACCCCGGGGATGGCACCTGCCTAAGTAGGCGCTTTAGTCTGCTGAGCTATCTGGCTGGCCCAGTTTCCCAATTATTAATTTCTTGCATTTGGTGTTGACTATTTGTTATACTTGAGGAACCAATGTTGAGATATATTATTATACAGTTTTTGAGACGGTCTCTCTCTAATCTATTAGAGACTTATGATCTTCCTGCCTTAGCTTGATATATTATCTTTTACCTAAAATTCCCAGTTTATTTTAGGATTCATACTTGGTGTTGTGCATTCTGTGGGTTTTGAAAAATGTATAATGATATGTATCCTCCTGTTATAATATCATACAAAATAGTTTTACTGGCCCTAAACCCTCTGTACTTTACCTATTCATCTCTCCCTCCTCCAAACCCTTGGCAATCACTGATCTCTTCCTTGTCTCTATAGCATTAATTTGTGAGAATGTCCTATTCGTACTCAAGGTAACCTCTTCAGGTTAGCTTCATTTGCTAAGCAAATCTTTTACATGCAATGTGGATCTTGTAGGGGCCAGGGAGATGTCTCAGTGGAATAAGCGCTTCCCTGGCAAGCACAAGGGCCTGAGTTCAATTCCCGGTTCTGAAAAAAAAAATGTGGATCTTGCAAGCAAATAAGGGAAATAAAATCCCAGAGTGAAAAAGAAAGAGGAATTTGCCGGGTAGGTAGATGTTCAAGAAGAAGAGGGTTGTGAATGAAAGCAAGAGACAGGAAAAGGAATATTGTGGGAGGGTCCTGCTTCAAGGTTATATATGGTGAGATTTTTGTACTTATGTGCAAACATGAGAAGTATAGAATTCTTTATCCTATTTTTAAAATACAATCTAATTTTTAAATGTTTTTTTATCATATTATG